CGAGGACGCGATATTTGTATGAAAACCATGAGATTTTAAATGCTTTACGTTTGAAAAATCGAAAAATTAAAAATTTCTTTTTTAAAATCACCTTTTTTTTGATAAAATCAACCATAACTTTTGACCTGATTATTTTTTCGAAAATCTGAGCTCAGATTCTAAAAAATTTTACATAAGAACAGGCTACTCGCATATTTTTTTTACCCCTTTTTCAACAAAAATGCAGCGACCGAAATAAGTATGAAAAAAACGTCCTCTTGGGACTGAATGGGTTAACAAAAACTGTTCTTTTCTTAAGTTTCTACGTAAGCGAAGCTTAGAGAGATGGCATGTGGTTCATGTCGAGTATTCATAATTGATTTTTTAGCTAAATAAGTCGCTGATAATTAATATTTATAGGTACATCAGTAGTTATCATTAAAAAGCATTCAACTTATCCCATTAACGACCAAAATGCTTGATTTTTTTGTTGGTTTTCGCAGCGATTTTTTTGTAGTTTTAGGCCTCCAAAAAGTTTCGCATGGACCTATTTGGATGTAAAATTTAATGCCCTTTCAGAAACTGAGCTCAAAATTTTAATTTTTTGCGTAATAAAAAAGTTATGGATACTTAAGGGCTCAAAGGGGGCTTAAAATCGAAAAAATTTTTATTTCATTTTCGAATAAGATTTTATGTCCCCTTTCCATTGCCTTTTTCGAAACTTCAAAATTTTGATCATTCTTTGAGATACAGCTGTTTCCGTGAGCCATTTTCGTATACTTTGCGTGTTAACTTTTTTCTTCTTCTGCTTTTTCTGGCGTTTTACGTTTTTACAAAGTGCAGGTCACTTGTCGTAACATTCAGAGCGTACCGATTGAGTTACAGCACCAGGGTCGCGCACACTTCTTCAGAACATCAATGATTACGGTCACAACGTCGGGCGAGCCGATCCAACCCTTGGGTCACCCTGCACAAACACTGAAGCACAATTTTTTTTTCATTTTACGTTTTTTTTGTGACCTCCATCATGAATCTACTGATTGAAAGTGACCTATGAGTTCGATCACCTAGCCCGAGGTTGTGACCGTAACCATTGATGTTTTGAAGAAGTGTACGCGACCCTGGTGCTGTAACTCAATCGGTACGCTCTGAATATTACGACAAGTGAACTGCACTTTGTAAAAACGTAAAACACCAGAAAACGCAAAAGAAGAAAAAATTTAACACGCAAAGTATACGAAAATGGCTCACGGAAACAGCTGTATCTCACAGAATGATCAAAATTTTGAAGTTTCGAAAAAAGGAATAGAAAGGAGACAAAAAATCCTATTCGAAAATAAAATAATAGTACTTTATGCAACGGGTACGGATATACTTTTTCAGCGAAACGAGGGGTTGCAGCACGAGCCGAAGGCGAGGGCTGTAACGAGTTTCGTTGGAAAAGCATATCCGTATCAGTTGCATACAATATTTTATGGTACAAAAGCCTAAAAGCAGCGGCAAAGTTGCGATTTTTAGGTTAGCGTGCCATAAAAATTTTTTTGATTTTAAGCTACCTTTGAGCCCTTAACCCATTAACGACCAAACTGCTTGATTTTTTTTTTTGGTTTTCGCAGCGATTTTTTTTATAGTTTGAGGCCTCCAAAAAGTTTCGCATGGACCTATTTGGATGTAAAATTTAATTCCCTTTCAGAAACTGAGCTCAAAATTTTAATTCTTTGCCTAATAAAAAAGTTATAGCTACACTGAGAAAAAGATTTGGTTGAATCAATTAAATATATAGAAAAATATTTTATTGAAAAAAATGTAATTGTGGTAACAAAATTGTATTTGAACCAATTAATTATTTTCTAAATTCAAAGAAATATTTATTTATGTCAATTAAATCATTAAATTTTTGGATTCAACAAAATATTTATCCATTATGAATAAATATTAAACAGTTTTGAAAAATTCGTCTAATTGACTCAACAAAATCGATTTGATTGTTCACCCAAATGAATTTCAATAAAATATATTATATCTGGCCATTCGGAACAGATTAAAAATGGTGTAGTAAAAGGATTATCTCATAAAATAATCACGTTATCTGACCCTATTTACCATGAGGAAAATTTTAAAAAGATGAGGAGGGAATTAATTCTTAATAACTACCCAAGTGGAATGATTGAAAAAATTTACAGAGAGCAGAAAAAAAGAATTGAGGCACCAGTTGAAATCAGGAATTTTGAAAGTGAACAAGACCAAAGAGAAAAGAAAATAGTTACACTTCCATTTATAAAGAGCTTTACGAATGGACTAGGAAACTTGTTGAGAAAAAAGTGTAATATACTGGTTGTTTATAAATCTGAAAATGGCTGTTTTTGGTGATTTTAGGCATTTTAGGCCTATTTTTGACCTTTTTTGCACGTTTTTCGCCACACATTGTTGTCTACATTGCGTTAAACTTTAAGACCTATTACAAAACTTTATCAGGCATTAGTTGACATCTTTGGGAAGCTTTTTACACAGTTTAGGAAATGAAAGTCCGCTTCGAACTCGATTTAATTTCTTGTTTTATGTTTTTTTTTTATGTTTTCCCACTATGATGTCTTTAGGTGGCTCCAATCACTTTGGCATATTTTTTTTCTGAAAATTTGGACAATTTCCAACAAAAAAGTTGCTGGGCACTTTTACTTTTGAATCATTCTACCCTGATCCAGGAATTATTTGAATATTTGTGATTTTTCACGAATTTCAAAAAAACCCTAAAATGGCCAACTTTGGGCCTCTGAAAAAGTGTCATAGAAGGCCCCAAATTTTCTAAAATTTTTTTGGGACAAATCTGACATCAAATACAACAAGTTTTTCATACTTGCAGAAAAAAATTTTTTTGGCCATTCGACTTGACAGAGAACCGGCCATATATATGGGCTGAGTCATAGTTAGCGTGATGGGAAAATCCTGAAAGTTTCAGCTCTCTAGGTCCAACCGTATTGGATTTTCAGGGTCTTAAAGTTGAATTTTCTTTTTCTGCCCATATTCTGCTTGCGATTCTGATTTTCTGGGGTTAACATAAAAAAATTGTTGAATCATGGTTTTTAATGTGTAATTTGATGTAGAATTCAAATTTGTACTTAAAAATCATATTAACAACTTAAAACCCCATAAAAATGATATTTCCATGCATTAATCATGTTACTGTGCAAAAATAAACACGTTCGTATCCAGCGATATGGCCAATATTGTAATATGTTCATCGATACATCAAATTACAACTTCTGATAAATTTTGGTTATCGGCAGACAAACGAAATTCATTATTGAGCTTAATATGAGTCAAAAATCAAGGAAAATAAGAGAAAAACCATGTTTCTTGACTCGTATTAAGCTCAATAATGAATTCTGTTTGTCTGCCGATAACCAAAATTTATCAGAAGTTGTAATTTGATGTATCGATGAACATATTACAATATTGGCCATATCGCTGGATACGAACGTGTTTATTTTTGCACAGTAACATGATTAATGCATGGAAATATCATTTTTATGGCGACTCCACTTCTTAATATAATTTTGAAGTACAAATTTGAATTCTACAACAAATTTTACATTAAAAACCATGATTCAACAATTTTTTCATATTAACCCCAGAAAATCAGAATGGCAAGCAAAATATGGGCAGAAAAAGGAAATTCAACATTAAGACCCTGAAAATCCAATACGGTTGGACCTAGAGAGCTGAAACTTTCAGGATTTTCACTTTTCAATGTACTCTTTAAAAGTACATAATTTGAGAAAAAAAATTTTTTTGACCATCACGCTAACTATATGGCTTTGCCCATATATCTAAATAAGGTACGTTACTAGAATGAGAGTGTTTGAAATTGTTCAATTTGTAAAATTTCTTGAGTGTAAAAATATTCTTCAATAAATGATTTGTTTGACAGCTCCTGAGGAGGACTTACGGAAAGTAAGTCGAAACGTTGAGCAATCTCAAAAAATAAAGAATTGGCTTGTTGTCAGTCATTGAAATTTAATTTAAAAAATCTATTAAATAAAAATTACTTGATTTCAATAAAATATTTATTTGTTTGAAATAAATATTTTATTGAAATTCATTTGGGTGAACAATCAAATCGATTTTGTTGAGTCAATTAAACGAATTTTTCAAAACTGTTTAATATTTATTCATAATGGATAAATATTTTGTTGAATCCAAAAATTAAATGATTTAATTAACATAAATAAATATTTCTTTGAATTTAGAAAATAATTAATTGGTTCAAATACAATTTTGTTACCTCAATTACATTTTTTTCAATAAAATATTTTTCTATATATTTAATTGATTTAACCAAATCTTTTTCTCAGTGTGGGTTTAATATGACTGCAGTAATCATTTCAAATACTTTTGCTTCAACAGATATTATTAGGAAAATGTATTATTTATTTAGAAATTCAACACAAATAGGAATTGATTACATTTTTAGAGGAAGTTACTTGCCAATGTATTGGAAGCAGTTTTTTTTCTATACAAAACTTTATAGCGATAATTAAATTTTATTTTATTATTTTTGTCAAAATTTATGCTTGACTAATACGGCCAATAATTTACTTTTAGGTATGAGTATAAAATTATCGGAATCTTCGATAAAATGTTTTCAAAGCTAGATGAATTTTTGTGCAAACAAAGAATTTCTCCGCCAACAAACAGTTATTGTTCCAGATAATTTTCATTCGTATGTTCGCACAAACGGAATAAATCTTCGTCACTTAAGTATTCCACAATTTCCCAGCAAACGTAATAGGGCAAATTCAATCTACAATTATCGGTCATAAATAGATCAGCGGCGAAACGTTCGAATTGTGGCCTCATCAAAATATTTGCTACGTGTGCTCTTACAAAACGATTCAAGATTTTTAAATCATGCAGAGCTGGTAAACGCCAATTTTTTTTCATTTTCTTTAACACCGAATAAGCCTTCACATAACTCATTTGGCAAATTTGAAATAGTGAGATGTCTCCATATAGCAGAATACTTTTCATTTTGGTGACTTCAATTTCTAATTTATTCGTGAGCTCTTCAAAGTTTCCTACATTCTGGTTCCTTAGATCCTCAGGAACTTTTGGTCTGAATTGTTCACATATTTTTTGCAAGTAATCGACATCCTCTTGTTTCATAAAAAAGTCTAATTTTTTATGAATGAATAGGTGAATAGAAATAATATGCCATGCTTTCGATATGCAACCATCTTCGTAAATGAAAAAAGGAAAAGAATAATTAACAAATTAACAAATAAATTATAATTATGATTGTCATACTTATAAACCGACAGATAGTTACCGATAATAGGTGCTGATTTTTAAACTTATGCCTTTTGAAAAGTCTGAAATATACACCGATAACAAGCTCAAAAAACGGAATATTACGCCGTATTAGAGTGGCGATATATTTTGAAGTACGTATCGATTTGTAACAAATATAAACCTTGTGTGCTGATATTTTAACTTTGGTGTAAATCGATATGGTCATAATGTAAAAAAACCCCATGATTGTGTGCTGATTTTTAAACGTGTGCCACTGGAAGGCATGACATTTTTAAACTCATAGAACACATAAAAAATAATGGTATAGTGTCACTAGAAGATATCAAAATCTAGACTCAGGACGTGCAATATTTCGGGTTAATACATATTTACCCCAAATCAAAAATATTGCGCATTTCTAATAGAGTCTAGATTTTGATATCTTCTAGTGGCAGTTAAGGGCTCAAAGGGGGCTTAAAATCGAAAAAAATTTTATTTCATTTTTAAGTAGGATTTTTTGTCCCCTTTCCATTGCACTTGTTGAAACTTCAAAATTTTGATCATTCAGTGAGATACAGCTGTTTCCGTGAGCCATTTTCGTATACTTTGCGAGTTAAGAAGTGTACGCAACCCCGGTGCTGTAACTCAATCGGTACGCTCTGAATGTTACGACAACTGAGGTGCACTTTGTAAAAACGTAAAACGCCAGAAAACACAAAAGAAGAAAAAATTCAACACGCAAAGTATACGAAAATGGCTCACGGAAACAGCTGTATCTCACTGAATAATCAAAATTTTGAAGGTAATACCCATACAACAAATTGTTGGTCCACTGGGATCATCGTTTTCCTCAAGCTCTCTTTAAAACACTAGAATTGTACATAAATATGCCCTATATTTAAATATGTATGTTAATGTAAACTATAAAATTTACCCATTTTTTAACGACAGATTGTAAATAAAAATCTTATAATAAAATAAAAAAAAAAAAAAAAAAAAAAAAAGTAATTTTTAGTGTTGCGCTCAAATACTACTGGTAACTCGATATTGACTCGATTCTAATCATAATATATATGGATTTAAAGAGGACAAAATTTCCGAGAAATCCAAAAAAAATTCGTGTATCACCGCACTAATACGGCGTAATATTCCGTTTTTTGAGCTTGTTATCGATGTATTTTTCAGAATTTTCAAAAGACACGAGTTTAAAAATCAACACCTATTATCGGTCACTATCTGCCGGTCTATCATGAAGTTGAATGATTTACCATGAATGTCAGGGATTAAATATTTTATATCGTGTCTTCGAACAGTCATCCAGAATTTCAGAATCTTAAGTCGAGCATCGAAGTCCATTATAAATCCATTTGACAGCAATAATCGTATCATCTCGACGATGTGTAAAGTGATTGGAGAGCTCCTCACTCCAATAACTGTATGATAATCATTGATTAACATATTTTCATCAAAACTGTTTAGACTCGCACCGTGTTTTAAAAGTGTTCTTACTAACTCATAATCTAAACGCGATGCAGCAAATTCTAAAGAAGTATAGCCGTCACTATTGCGTGCCTCGATATTTGCCCCTTTTTTAATGAGCATGTTCACGATTTCATCGACTGGTCTCCTCTCATTGCAGTCTGTTGTGTCAGTACAGAGATCGAGACAGTAACATACACGAAGCTGCGCAAGTGCATGAAGAGGAGTCGATTCTTTATGGCTCAACTGATTCGGATTACTCCCTCCTTCAGCAATATTTTTACGATTTCATTGTGTCTGTGTTGGGAGGCAATGTGCAATGGTGAGCACGTGTACGTGCCTAAATTCACATCTACGCCTTCAGATATGAATCGTTCCACTACTTCAATATTGCCAACAAAACAGGCTCCGTGAAAGTATGAGTATCCGTGCTGATCGCAATGATTTTCGATTGAATTTTTCAGAAAAAAATCAACTAAGGACTTGGTCTCGTTGTCAATATTGCCGTGATAGTTTGGCTTGAGTATGGATTCAAGTGAGGATAAATAATGAAGTGCAGACTTTCCATACTCAAATCTTTCCTCGTGGATTTTCATATTCATGTTTTCTTGCAGAAAAATTACTGCTTTTAAATGTTTCCGTTCTAATGCAAGTCGGAAAAAAGTTTTGATGTTTGGGAATAAGCTTTTATCCATTATTATATTTTCTAAATCCCTGACTGTCCAATTTAGTTCGAAACTGGTTAGACTGCAGAAATCCAAAATACGGAAAATGTATACGCATCTAGCCCTCATGTTTTTTTTACTTTTTAGGTAATTTAGTATTTCCAATAAGCTCAACATTTTTCTAATTAAACTGTTAAAAAATAGACTTCGGGGCTAATGAAGTTTGAAATTTATACTGATCACTCAACACGTGGTAAAAATTAATCTTGCACAACACTTGAGAAAGAGAAAAAGAGATGAAGATAGTTACGGTTACACAAAGTTATAGAGACTAATGACCACGTCTTATGGCTGAGCATGCATTTTAGAAAGCATATTACAGGCCAACACAAATGAGCACATCCACCACAAACACGCGCAGTGCGCATGACAAGCGTAGTCCAGTATTGAGAGTGCTGCATGTAAGTATAGTGAACACCAATATGGCAGCGCACGCTCGGAAGTTAACACGCTTGAAAATGGGATAATCTCGTTGAAAATAATAATTTTTGTATTAATTGTCTAATAATGGAATGAGACAACATATTTTTTATGTAAGATTATACAAAAAGTTCGAATAACGAATTATTTTTTCACGTCACATATTTTTTTGTGCTGTTACGGCTGGAGAGCCAATTTATTATAAATAATATATATTGATTTTATTCTGGCTGGTGACAACGAGGGAAAGTATATATGATGTTAGTTATTTGTGTGAAGTAGTAGTAGTCGTTATTATTTGTTATAATAAATTACAATGCAATTTCATTCATCCATTCGGATACAAAAGTTTAACTTACACCTAGGCTTACTCAACTAATTAAAAATAATGTACATAAGCCTGGTGGACGATTCTCGGTGTAGATCATGGCTCACTCTGCAACTGGTTGGCTGGCGTTCCTCTTTGGCTGCACTGCACTAACTGCACTAGTCTCGATTACAATTNCAAATTACACTCCGCATTGGACTCGCGGCACAATTTAATACAAGTCTAAATGATATAAAATCGCGGTACAAAGTGACGTGAGCTCTGCCCACCGAATAAGTTGATAGTCGAATCGCTCCGAGGCCTCCGTGGGTCCTCAATATATACTGCTAAATTTCGCATGCAAAATTAAGAGAAAGTACCTGTCAGCACCTGCTCATCCGTGAGAACCTGACGACGGCCTTTTGCTAATTTTTACGAGTTCATTGATCTTCCTGCTAAACTGACATCGCCTCACATTTAATCAATGCTTGATATGGCGTGTCTATTTCACACCTTTGTAAGAGGTGTAAATTTCGATGTTCTTTTCATAGAACTCGATGTCTTTACCAATTTTATATCTTTGTTTTCTACTTAGCTTGATGTCGTCAGATCCCGTAGATCGAGGCTAGCGCGTCCGTTCGTAGAGTGAAATTTCATGTTTATCGTTATTTGATTGTACATTATTTTTATGAATATTATAATTGTTTATAATAAAATAAGGGTGACGTGACAGTGCTACCCCAACCTAAAGTAACATTTTTCTCCCGCTGAGCAAAACCAAAATATTTCTTTAGGGTGGGGGATTAAAAAAAATTGTATTTGCACCTATGTAGGGGAAAAAGAAAGTCTCAGAGCACGTGCTTATCAGTCTCGGCTTCGCCTTGGATGATAAATTCTACGTGCTCTGAGACTTTCCAGTTTTTCACTCCCTACGTGCAAAATATACTATAGTCAAAAAAGGGTGTATTTGGCTTAAAAAAAATTTGAGATTATGTTTTTCAATGCTATAAAAAATACAACAAATTTTCGAGTTTTATCTCGAAAATTGTATCTACCCTTTTCAAATTTTCAATGATTTTATTTGAGAGCCTAAAGCACTCAGAAAATCTAAAAAATTCAAGATTGTTTGGCCTGTGGAAAAGTACCTTCATGAGTTTTTTAAGATTTTTCAATTGCTTCAGGGCTTCAGAATAAATGGCCGATTCTCTGTGAAATCGAATGGCCAAAAAATTTTTTTTTCT